CACAGAATATTTCAAAGACAGTCTCCTGTGGATGGGATTCTGCTCATTATTGTGACATGCTCTCAAGGGATGCAGGGAACCATAAAGATGCTCAGCTGTAGCACCAGGTACTCCATCACTGGAGAAATAGAAACAGACTCATCCGCTTAAGCAACCTTTTCTGTCTCATCCCATTGGCTTCTCTGATCTTATTCTTAAAAAGTTCTTTCCGTTGCAGAGAGCTTGTTACGGAAAGATCTTTGTTGCCAACCTTTTGCAGAGGGGAGTCTTTAATCTGCACAGACACTTTAGAATCCCAAGCTGGTTTCCACAATCAAATGTGAGCCACAGAAAGTGCTTGTTAGAAGACTGCTGCCCTGGTGTTTTCTGCAAAGCAACGACTTCTGGCAGCCTAATCAAGTTGGCCGGCCATAGGTTTTTGCTCAGAGTCCTGGGGCAGTGTCTTTTTTTTTTTTCTTGCAAGGTTGCCGCAGGCTGTAAAATTTCCATTGCTTTAGATGGGGAAGGTCCAAGTACAATGATGAGTATTTCAACTTGACCGCATACCATTTTGTAAAACAGTGCCTTCCATTTTCTAATTTTGCCCCGCGTAAGATTAAAACAGCATTACAAAATGTTCCTTTCTTTGTAATTGTTGTTGTTGTTGTATTTGTGAAGAAGGGAGGCAGTGGAGTACAGAAAAATGTGGTAATCGTTGTGAGAAAGGAGGCACTGCTAGACTCGCACAACAGAAGAAGAATCTTATCTCTCCCACCACATGAAAACAAAGAAGGAGGAGGATAGGTAAAGAGCAAGGTAATTCCTGTTACAATAAATCATAACTTATTCCCAACAAACTTGAAGACTGAAATACTCAACATGAACCTCCTCTTAGTGCCACCACAACCCAGGATATGAGAAAGAGCCTTTTCCATGGTGGTCTCCTTGTTTGTGGAATCTCCTTTTTACTCAACACCTAACACCTTTCCACTACCAAGTGGTTCTTTGTTCTTCAGGTCTTTTTCTCTTAATTATTTTAACATCTTAACCTCTGCATTTCCTGATGATTTTAGGCTGTTGATTTTAGTTTAGGATTATTGTATTATATGTTTCCCCGGACCCTTGCATTTGGGTAACACTGCTCTCCTCCAAAAAAGAGAGGGGAAAAGAGAAGAATTTATTTCATCCTCAGAGACATCCTGAAGAGAAAAGCAAAGCATTCACTAAGGGGGGGGGGGTTGCAGACTGCCAGAAATAGTGCAAATTGAGTCCACTTTAAGGGTTAGGGTTAGTGCTAGGGAATCATGGGAATTGTTTTTTTCCCCCCTGAGACATTGAGCCTTCTCTGTCAGAGAGCTCTGGTGCCACAATAAAATACAGTTCCCATGATTCCCTAACCCTAAAAGTGGACTCAATTTGCACTATTTCTGGCAGTCTGCAACCCCCCAAAGGCAACTCAAGCTCTGAGGGAAGTCCTGTCTGCTGCTGCTCCTAGGAAAAAAGAACTTTGGAAAGATCCATCATATCCTCCTATTTATAGTGAGGCTGCCAAGTAGACAAATTTCTCAATGGGGAACAGCAGACATGCTGTTACTCATGTACTTTTTCGTCATGCTTAAAATGGAGGACGGTTTGCAATTCCTCCTGAATAGAAGGTTGAACTTGAAAAGGAGGACATTTGGTTACTGTGAGTGGAGACGGTTGTGCTATCTAGAAAGGGGGGGGGGGGATAATCTCACATTTGGGCTGGGAACTGGCCCAGACATTTAATGGTGGTGTCTGCCAGGATTTGTCCTGGCTTTAAAAGGTGATCATAGAATCATAGAATCATAGAGTTGGAAGAGACCACCATGGCCATCCAGTCCAACCCCATTCTGCCATGCAGGAACTCAAAATCAAAGCATCCCTGACAGTTGGCCATTCAGCCTCTGTTTAAAAACCTCCAAAGAAGGAGACTCCACCACACACTGAGCAAGCGTGTTCCACTGTCAGGAAGTTCCTCCTAATATTAAGGTGGAATCTCTTTTCCTGTAGCTTGCATCCATTGCTCTGGGTCCTAATCTTTGGAACAGCAGAAAACAAGCCTACTCTCTCCTCAATATGACATCCCTTCAAATATTTAAATAGGGCTATAATCTCACCTCTTAACCTTCTCTTCTCCAGGCTAAACATCCCCAGCTCCCTAAGTCATTCCTCATAGGGCTTGGTTTCCAGACCCTTCACCATTTTAGTTTCCCTCCTCTGGACACACTCCAACTTGTCTACATCCTTTTTGAATTGTGGTGCCCAGAACTGGACTCAGTATTCCAGGTGGGGCCTGACCAAAGCAGAATAGAGTGGCAGTATTACTTCCCTTGATCTAGACACTATACTTCTTTGATGCAGCCTAGAATCACATTGGCCTTTTTAGCTGGTACATCATACTGTTGACTCATGTTTAACCTGTGGTCTACTAGGACTCCTAGATCCCTTTCACATGTAGTCACGTTAAGCCAGGTGTCCCCCATCCTATATCTATGCATTTTATTTTTTTGCCCTAAGTGCAGTGTACCTTACATTTCTCCATGTTGAAATTCATTTTGTTAGCTTTGGTCCAGCTTTCCAATCTATTAAGATCATTTTGAATCTTCATCCTGTCTTCTGGGGTATTACCTACTCCTCCTAATTTGGTGTCATCTACAAATTTGAGAAGCATGCCCCCTAT